TTCAATAGGGGAAAGAGTATTGTCTTCAACAAATGGTGTTGGACAACTGAAATCTACAAACAAAAGAATGAAGTTGGACCCATACCTCACACCATATATAAAAATGAATTAAAAAATCTAAATAGAAGCTAAAACAAATCCTTAGGGAAATACATAGATATAAATTTTCATAAACTTGGTTTAGGCAATAGTTTCTTAGGTAAGGCATCTTAAAGCAATAAGCAACCAAATAAAAAGGCTAGATTAATTAGGCATTATTAAAAGAGATTGAAAAAGACACTATGAAATGGAAAGATATTCTGTGTTTATGGATTGGAAGAATCAACACAGTTAAAATGGCCATATTATCCAAAACAAAATACAGATTTAATGCAATTCCCATCAAAATCCCAATGTCAGTCTTTGAAGAAATAGAAAAAAAAATCATCAGATTTGAATGGAACCACAAAAGATCCTGAATAGCCAAAGCAATCGTGAGGAAAAAAGACCAAAGCTGGAGGTATCACACTACTTCAAATTAGATCACAGACCTACAAAAATCAAAACAACATGGTATTGGCAGAAAAGGCACAGAACAATGGAACAGAATTCAGATTCCAGAAAATAGAATCACATGCATATGGACAAATACCTTTTGACAGAGGAGATAGAAATGCACAACGGAAAAAGGAAAGCCTCTTCCATAAATCGTGCTGGGGAAATTGGAAAGCCACATGCAAAAGAATGAAACTAGATTACAGTTTGTCCCCATGTGCAAAAGTTAATTAGAAATGGATCAAAGACCTCAATCTTCAGACCTGAAACAAACTACATAGAAGGGAACAGGTACTAAACTCATGAACCTTAGTCATAGAGAACTTTTTATGAATTTGACCCCAAAGGCAAAGAAAGTAAAGGCAAAAATAAATGAATGGGACTATCTCAGATAAAAGTTTCTGCACAGCACAAGAAACTGAAGGGGAGATGGTGTTTGCAAACAAGAGCTCCAACAGAAGGGTTAATATCTAAAGTATGTAAAGAACTTAAACAAGTCTACACCAAGCAATCCAATTAACAAATGATCAGAGGACCTGAACAGACACTTCTCCCAAGAAGACATACAAATGGCCAACAGATAGATAACATGAAAAGATGTTCAACTTCACTAGCTATTAGGGAGATGGAAATGAGATACCACCTCATACCTGTTAGAATGGCTGTTACTGACAACACAGGTACTAACAATGTTGGAAAGGTTGTGGAGAAAAAAGGAACCCTTATTTTCACTGCTGGTAAGAATGTAGACTGGTGCAGCCACTATGGAAGACACTATGGCAAGTTTCTCAAAAAATTAACACTAGAGTTACCATATGACCCAACAATCCCTCTCCTGGGTATCTACCCAAAAAACTAAAAAACATGTACTCACAAAGATTTATGCACTCCTATGTTCGTTGCAGCATTACTCATGGTGGCCAAGACATGGAGGCAACCAACGTGTCCTTTGATAAAGAGGGCAACCAACGTGTTGGATAAAGAAGATGTGGCACATATACACAATGGAATCCTACTCATCCATAAGAAAAGATGAAATACTACCATTTGAAACAGCATGGATGGATCTTGAGAACATTATCCTAAGTGAAGTAAAGCCAGTCAGAAAAAGCTAAGAACCATTATGGTTTCACTCACATGTGGGATATAAAACTGAAACTCAAAGACACAGACAACAGTATGGTGGTTACCAGAGGGAAGGGGCAGTGGGCAGTAAAGGATAAAGGGGGCCAAATACATGTGACGGAAGATGATGTGACTTTGGGTGGTGGGCGCACGACGCAACATACAGGTCGTTTATCATAGAAATGGACACTTGAAATCTATACGGTCCTATTAACCAATGTCACCCCGATAAATTTAATAGAAAACTGAAAACTTGTGCTTCAAAGGTGAAAGTAAAATAACAACTCATAGAAATGGGAGAAAATATTTGCAAATCATATATCTGATAAGCCTAGCCTCCAGAATACATAAGGAACTCTTATAATTCAACAATGAAGAGACAAGTACCCAGTTTAAAAAATGTGTAAAGGATTTGAATTCTTCAAAGAAGAGTGACTTCTAAATGAGTATGGAATTTTCTGAGGTGATAAAAAAATGTTCTTAAATTAGTGGTGATGGTTGTTGTACAGCACTGAATAGTCTAAAAACCTCAATTCAATTTGAATAGGTGAATTTTAATTGTGTATGAAGTATCAAAAAACAAATGAAGTCTTGTGTATCATTTTTGTGGGGGACTTGATTTGGTCAGTATGTTGAGAGTCATTCATGTAAATGCATGCAGTTGTAATTGCTGTAATTAATTTATTTTCACTCTAGTGTGATATTGCATTGTATGAATTTTCCAAAATACATCTAGCCATTCTTTCTGCAAGTATTTCTGAGTTGTTTGTAGTTTTCTTCCTCCTCCCCCACCCCCTTACACACGATTCTGCTCGGAACATTCTGGTAGGTGCGGGTGTGAGAGCTTCTCTGGAGTATGAACCAGAGGGCGGGGCTTGCCGGGCGGTGGGGCTCGCACAAGGCCCTATATTGGATTGCTTTACCCCGTCCAAAGTGTGCGTTGCCCTTACTCTTCCCCTAGCAGTTCATGGGACTTTTTTTTCATCGTTCCACAACTTTGCCAATGCTTGTTTTTGGCCGACTTAAGTTCTGGTAATCTGGTGGGTATAATGGTATTTCATTATGATTTCAATTTATATTCCCCTTATTAATAAAAGACACCTTTTTTTTCTTTTTGCTCTTTCACGTTCTCATGATTTTATGCCTCTTGAGGGTTTTACTTTTTTCCGGTTTACTCAATTCTTTACATTCGCAGGCTACTTACCCCTTATCACCTATGTCTGTGTTTTCTTCTAATCTCTCTTTAAACGCCACATTTTGAAGTGTCTCTTGACACACACCTAGTGCAGAGAACGACTTAATGGTGATTCCCTGTCCCCAAGCTTCTGTTCCCATCAAGTGGCCCTCTTGATTCACCCAGCCCTCTGTGATGATCACTCTGGGCTATGGTGAAGCAAAGTCCAGACGTCATATCATTTCATCAGTAAATATTTCAGTGTATATTTCGAAGTGCTAAGCATTCTTTTAAAAAAGTGTTTACCAACTTTCAAAATAATGGGTTGATTCCTTTTGTCCTCCAAAAATTACAACATACAGATTTTTCCCTGTATTAAGAACATGGATTTAATAATACTTGGTGAACTAAGGGGAAAGGATTTGCTTTATTATGTCCAAATTACCCTGTCACTGGCCAGTGGGAGCTTGATTCAAACTGGTCCCGGCATCTTTTTGGCACAGAATAGAAGGCCTTCTATTCTGTTGTGAAGAGATGTCCCAGGTTTATCTTCTACATTTGGCTGCACCAGACCTGGAACTGGCCATTGCTTTAAAATTTTTAATTTGGTCTTTTATATCATGTATAACCTTTGCATGGTTACAAAGTGAAATTGGCAAAATAAGATGTTTCTCTTTAATTCTAACCCGGGAACTTTCTAAAAAATTGATTAGAGAGAGAAACATTAATCAGTTGCCTCACACACACACACACACACACACACACACACACACACCCCAAACTGGGGATCGAACCTGCAACCTTTTGGTGCACAGGACGAGGTTTCAGCCACCTGAGTCACCAGAGCAGGGTGGCAAAACACGATCTTTGTATAGCTTTCTCTCCCCCATATCTCCCCTTCCCTATGATCATGGTTGGTCTCTCAGGAATCTGCAGATGGTGAGGAGCTCGCCTTGGAGCCTCAAATGATACTCCTGGTCTTGCTCTTCTAGGCAGGGAGATTTCCCCTCTAGGGATTTCCTCAGAAGGTTCCCCAGGTGGGTGGTAGCTGGGCCGCCCCAGGCTGGGACTTTCATCTAGGTCCCAAGCCCACCAGCAGTCCCAACAACTCCTCTAGCAGGCAATGTGCGTCAGTGATGTTCCTCTTTTAAGCCACTGCACTAACTGTGGAACTTGCACCAAACGACCCGCCGCGAGCCTGGGTGTGTCGCGTTGGCAGCGGTGGGCCAGCCGTGCTGCCCTGCTGCCTGCTTCCCCAGAGGTGCGCGGTGACCGCTTGACACTGCCTCGCCTTTGTCCGGGCAAGACCTTCGCACAGACTCCGGACCCTTGTGAGTCTCAGGGCAATGCATGACAGTTATTTTATTCTGAGATTGAAATTTAATCTGGATCGAAGTGGCCTCACTGTTGTAGTTTGACTATGAATATATCGAAATGGCCAAAAATTAAGTCCCTGAATTTCTTTGTTAAAATAACAAAAAGGCCAGACCCATGTGTTAATATAAAATAGAGGAAAATGCATTTAATCTGTCCTCAGGTGTTGATAAGCAAAACATGAAGCAGAGGTATGCTTCTTACAGGGCTGTCGTTGGGCAGTGACGCAGGCGTTGGCTGGGACGTGCTCCCCGGCCGGGCCAGGCAGCCCCTGGCAGGGCAGAGGGGCCGCAGCCAGGGGCTGTTTCCCTGACCCGCAGGGCTTGCTCCCCTCCGTAGCCTTCCCGCGGCCCTCGGTCCTGCCCCTTCCGGGGAGAAATCAGGAGGGAGGGAGGAACACGCGCCCTTTCAAACAGTAGCAACAAATGGCTTTGTTGGGAGAGTTCTTGCCACTCTTCAAAAGTTAGATAATTCCCATGCTTCATAAACAAATACAGACCCTAACGGCAAAAAAATTCCCGATTTCGTTTTTAGATGCAGTTTAACTTGATACTAGCCCAATCCGTCACCTCCAGTTGCTGGCTCTGACCTGACCAATGTCAGTCATCTCCCCTCTCCGCCCCGCCCCCCAACACGCATGCACACAGAGTTGGGGCTTGTGGCCCTCCTGAGGGCTAGGGACCGTCTCTGCCCCTCCCCAGTCCGAGCCCAGGCCCCTCCTCCTGCGACCTCCGTTGCCCACAGAAGGGGCGGAACTGGCATTAAGGCGAGAAGACATCAGCCCAGAGCTGCTCTTAAGCGTTTATTGAGAGGAGGGAAGGGTGCAGGGTGGGGGCCAGCGCGGGGGCCGGCCCGAAGGTGGCAGCATCCCGTCCCCAGGCAGGGATCCTCAGCTGCTTCTCAGCCCAAGAATGTCAGGACTCCCTAGAAGGAGAAGCCAAGGGTGAGTGCGTCCTCGGGGCGGGGGGCGGGGGGCCCGCGCAGCCCGACGCTGTGGGGGAGGGCACGGCTGACGCTCTCGCCGGGTTTCTGCGGCTCAGGCTGCCTGCTCTGCTGGGACAGGCATGGGTGGTGTCCCCTTGACAGGTGCGTTCCCACCTAACCCCTCAGGCCCTCTGCAGAGCCACATTATTCAGATACAGTTGGTCTGCTCGGGTCCCACGGAGGCCACGGGGCACCCGGGGGTGGGAAACAAGGCGGCCCCGTTGTGGGTTAAGAGGAGTGGGGGGTGTGCCTCTACAGGGCAGGGCGGAGCGCACAGGGAGGCGGCAGGTGCCCCTTTACCAGCAGTGACTGCAGGGCCCCCACAGTCTCGGGGCCCAACTCGGCCACACACTTCCTGGAGCCCTCCACCAGGTGGTGCACCGGGATGCCCAGGCTGGTCAGCAAGAGCTTCAGGAGCACGAGGGGGTTGAAGCTCAGGCCAGGGGTGGGCAGGTCCCCTGGCAGGGCCGCGGCCCCGGCCGCCACAGCAGGGGTGAGGACGGGTACCTCTGGGACCTCGGGCTTGACCCTCGAGCCCATGAAGAAGGCTGCAGCTGCAAACACAACAGAGAAGAATCTCCCACCTGCGCCCAGGCCCCCAGGAGAACTGCCGAGGGCCCCTGTCCTCCAGGAGACGACTGGGGCCTTTGAGACCTGCCAGCACCCCTGGCCACCTGCTCCCTCGCTCGATGACTGCGGGGAGCCGGGGCCCAGCAAGGAGCTGGCTGGACTCGAGGTCAGAGGAGGCCCCCGCGGGGGCCGGGCCTATGCCGGGAGGACGACGGGGAGGGCGGCCAGTGTTCCCGCCCAGGCCAGCGCCCACCGCAGCCCAGGGCTGGGAGAGGCTGCTTGTGCGGGGGAGATGGGCGGGCAGGGTGCGAGAGGAGGCCTGAGGGCGCAGCGGGGGGGCCCCACAGGACCGGCCTGAGGGGCCTGGTGCCCCGGTGCAGAGGCAGCAGGGTCGGGACGGGCTGGACTCGGGGCTGGGGGCCAGGCAGAGCCACTGCTGGGCCACGGTGAGCAGGGACCGAGGCCGGAGGACACTCACTGTACTGGCCGAGCAGGGCCACGCAGAGCACCAGGAAGGCGGCGGTGAGCTTCATGGCGGCGGGGCTCCGGGGACACTCCTGGAACCGAAGGCGTGCTGCCCTGAGCCTGGCGCTGTGGGCATCTTATACCCCATCCTCACCCCTCCCCAGGGCTGGGCCTCTGGAGAAAGGTTCTGTTTGCTCAGCTAATAGGCAAAGCCCTGGCCAACTTCCTGCTCAGCCTGGTGGGCCCTGAGACGTTTGCGCCCCCACCTGCCCATGGCTCGGGACTTCCCCTAGGCCAGGCCCTCTGTGAGTGCAGCAACCAGCTGGGCTTTGTCTGCACCGGCCCACCCTGGCCCGTGAGCTTCCTGGCCTGACCCCGCCTGGCCTCCACAGCCTGAGGGCCGGTGGGTGGGTGAGGAGGGGCAGGCCTGTGACCCCAGGCCTTCCCTGTTCCCAGGGCCTGGAAAGGTCAAGCAGTGGGGCCTCCTGGCTCCTGCTGGGCCTGGGGAGGCTGTGCAGGTGGGGGGTCAGGGCTCCCTCCTGGCCGCTTCCCTGATGGGGCCACAGGCAGCTATCACTGCCAACAGAAAGAACTGGGACATTTTTACATCTTTGAAATTAGTCTTTTTTTAAAAAAAAATTTTTGCTTGATTGATTTTTGAGAGAGAGAGAGAGAGATCGATTTGTTATTCTACTTATTTGTGCACCCACTGGTTGTTTCTTATATGTGCCCTGACTAGGGATCGAACACACAGCCTTGGCATATTGGGATGACGCTGTAACCAACTAAGCTGCCTAGCCAGGGCTGAAGTCAGCCTTGACATGAGTTTCACGCATCTGTCACCTACAGAGCATGACCATGGAGGACAAGCAAAACAAACTTAACCCTTGACACAGGTTCACCAGGGGCCATGACTTTTCAGGGATAGTCCTGGAATACCCCCAACCAGGGTTACCAGGGGTCTCCAACAGCCGCCTTCCCCCCGGCCCCCGCCAAGCCCCTGAGGCCACACCCACCTCTGAGGGCTCCCTGCTGTCCGGCCTGCCGAGCACGTGTGGCTGGTCAGCGGCCATGATCGCACGCGTGCATGTGCACATGCATGTGGTCTCCACTCGTCGCATCTGTTTTTCCTTGACTGGTTTGGGAGGTTTGCATTATACAGATGTGTTTTGTTGGCTATTGTGGAAGTAATTTTAATAGGACGCACATTTCAACTTGTGAAAATTTACCTCCCGAGGGATTTTGTAGAGGGAAGCCTGCTCATCAGGCCGGCCCAGGACGTGGCTGTGGTGCTGCGGGTTGGGGCGCCGCCGCCTGGCGGCCTCACCCGCGTGGCCTCATCCTCTCCGGGGGCGCCTGCTGGAGGCACGGCTCTGGCCAGCCCCCTCCGGAAAAGCCTGGGCCAGCCTGGCGGGCGGGCTAGCTGCTCCCAGTAGTCAGGTCACGCTGCCTCCCCCACAAGGCAGGGGGTCCTGGAGCCTGGGGAAGGCTGGAGGGGTTTCACGCGGCCCCGCGGGGGTGGCGGGGCCCCCAGGATGGAGGCTGGTCCGGGGTGACTAGACGTCAGCGCAGGCGGGAGGATGCATGGGCTCGCGAGCAGCCGCTCCCGACCGGCACCCAGCAGGCCGCATCTGCGCCTGCCCGCCCCGCAGCAGCACAGGCCTCTGAGCGTCCTCAGGCCAGCCCAGGGCTGTGGTGGCCCTGCTCTGCTGTCCCTTCCGGAGCTTCGCCTCTGCTTGGTGGGGACACGTGCTCTCAGGAGAAGCTGCTGGTGCAGTTGGGAATGGCCAGTAAATTTCCTAAGTGGGTGTGTTGGGGGGGAGGTGCCAGAATGTTCTCATTCATCCTCTTGTCCCTTTGAAATTTGGGGACAGGGGTCTTTGCAAGAGCTGGTGTGGTCCATGCCAGTGTGAGTGTGAAGTTGGGGGAAGCGCGGGCGGCTCCCAGGGCTGCCGCTGATGGACCTCAGACACCTGGGGTCTCCATTCAATGTGGGGACCAGAGCCATCCACCCTTCAGTGAACCGTAGCAAGGGGTGCCGGGTGGGGCTGCTCTCCTCCGACTGAGCCCGGCCTGGGAGCGAGCCCCTGCGATCAGCGGGGCCCACGCGATCGGCGGAGGAGGGTGTTGGGAGCCGACCTGGGGCCCCTCCCCCCGAGCCGACAGGACCAGAGCGGGCTGCAGCCTGAGGCCAGGGGGTGGTGGACGCCGCGGGCTGCAGCGTGCTCCCAGCAGTGCTGGCTTCCTGGACGCGGGCGTCCAGCAGTCCCCCGCGTCCCCTTCCTGGCGCTCTCTATCTTTAAAATACCCCCTGCCCCCCACGCTGGCCCACGGTGGTCAGAGGGGCCTGCCGCCGCTTCCCATGAACCTGCGCAGGGATGGGAGGCCTCCTCACGCACACCCCACAGTTTCTAATTCCGCAGGTGCGTCGCCATGGTTACCCAGCATAGTGCCTCCCATCGTGGCCCTGTTTCTCCACTGAGGAGATTCGCCTGCGGCTCCTGAGCCCCGGCTGGCCCAGCCCTCCGCCTGCTGCGGACCTTGGCTCTGCCCCTCCTGCCACGACGGGGACACCTCTGTATCCGTTTCCTGGGGGCAACTAACAACTCACCGCGCACTTGGGGCTGAGAACAACACCCACTTCCTTGCTCGCAGTTCTGGAGCCAGAGGCCAGCGTCACGGGCCAAAGCCAAGGTGCAGTCAGCACGGCCCCTCCGAGGCTCTGGGCCTCCGGCTTGTGGCGGCCCAGCTCTGCCTCCCTGGCTGCGTCGCTGCAGCCTCTGCCTCTGAGGTCCCAGGGCGCCCTCTCTCCCGCTGCCCCTGAAATCCCTCTCAGCCTCTCTGTGGTCACATGTGATTGCATTCAGGACTCAGACAGTCGAGACTGTGCTCGTGTCTCAAGAGGATTTACCGCATTGCCTCTGCCGAGAGTCTTTGTCCATGCTGGGGGACCCCCAAAGGTTCAGGGGCTCGGTCCTGGCGAGCTGTGGGGTGCTCCTGAGCCTGCCCCACCCCTCGCTCAGTGCACCCCCCGCCCCCATTCCAGGCCAGGGGCGGCTGTCAGAACCAGCCACACGGGGTGGGGGCGGGGGGGGGTGGCCAGTGCAGGAAGGGCAGTGGCCGGCGGCGTCGGCGGAGCCCCGCCCCCGCTGCACACCTCCCTCTGGCAGGCAGCGGCAGGGCTGCCCCGGAGGGGCCCTCGTGCAGCCCCCGGCCAGCCGGCCCCCGGCCGCGTTTGCAGGGCCTCCCTGGTGCCAAAGCAAACCTTGGCTCCTGGCCTGCTCCTCGGGAACGAGGTGCTGGAGGGAGACGGGGACTTGGGTGGCCCCAGGGCATGGGCCCAGCACCAGGGCTGAGCTGTGCAAGGACTGCGGGGCTCGCCGGGCCTGGGAGCCGGCGCTCGGTGGGGGTGCGACCAAGGGCCGCAGCCTGTGCCTCCCTTGTGGTTCTGACGTCAGCAAACACTTCAGAGGGTGTGTGGCAGTTGTCCCCGCTCTGTGACACAGGCAGCAGGCCAGCAAACCCTTCACACCTGGCTGGGGCCACCAGGCACGGGGCCCCCCAGGTCCCAGGAGCTCCCTTGCCTCTTCCCTCTCTCTGTCAGGCCTGCGCCAGCACTCCCGGGTGCTGTCTGAGGCCAGGGACCCTGGGCCCCTCTCGGGGTCTGTCCCTGCTCTGGGCCACACCTGTGGGCCCCCTGCTCCAGGCGAGTAGCTTGGTTACTGAGCATCATTGGAGTTCTCTCGGGGGCCTGGGAGACCCACCGCCTGTCTTTTCTGTGGCTCGTCGCTGTGTGGCCTCCTCGCGGTCCCTGTGGTTGGGGGCCGGCTGGCGAGCCCTGCACAGCGCAGCGAGGCGGGGCGGAGGGCGTGTCTGCCGTGTCGCTCAAGTATGAACCGCTCCTATTTCATTTTGCGCAGCCTGAGCACACGCAGGCCTGGAAACAGCCCCCCATGTGCCGCCATGGCCGGGAGGGTGGGGGCAGGCCGCCTCTAGGGAGCCCCCACAGTAGCTCGGTCTCGGAGAGCCTCGGCCACACAGCCATCCTGCCACCCTCCCAGGGAAGTCCTTCTGGGCCAGGACCACACCAGCCAAAGGAGATCCCATCCTCCTGCCACACGCTGTCACTGTGAGGACAGGTGAGCATGTGGGCATGTCCGGGCTCTGCTGGGCGCTGAGAGGAGGCCGAGTCCGTGGCGCCTTGACACGGCTTTGAGAGGAGCGGGCCGGGGCCGGGGCCAGGGTGGGAGGGCGGCCAGGCTCCCCTGCCAGGGGCAGAGCTGGGTGTCTGCCCAGGGGCCCCACCGTGACTGCCCGCACCCACCTCAGCTCCTTCCTCTTCCTCGTAGCCCGGTCACCCGGGCCCTGGGGCTCTGGACAAGTGTCTCCAGTGTGTGCTCTTCCTGCCTCTGTGGGCACCTTCACTTGGGTCAATATTGACCTGGCTCCAAGGAGCACTTCCTTCTGCCCCTTCCCTGACCAGCGCCCTGCCTTGGGAGGGGGCAGGGTCCCCTGACGTTCCATGTGGCTTTGCCGTGTGGGACCCGGGCGAATGTGGGTAGGGAGCTGCCCTGCACAGCGGCAGTGAGGGCTGAAAGCCTATGTTTTCAAAAAGCTGTCTTTCTTGGCGACAAACCGTGCAGGTTTGGGCTCAGGGGAACAGGCTGCTGTCCTCCGGGCCCTCCCGTGGGATTTCACTGGGTCTCCTACCCTGAGCGGCTGTGCTGACCAAGCCCCTGTGGCCAAGCCACATCCTGTGCCGTTAGGTCCAGTTTACGCGTGTGTGTCAGCCTGGGCTTGAGTGGCCCCCCAGGACCGGCGGTTTGGTGGCGCCGGCTCCCTGCCTGCAGTGGGACTGGGGACGGGGTCGTACCGCCCTCCCAGTCAGAAGGAAAGTAGTTCAGAACATCGGTGACCTGCCCAAGGTCCCCTGGGTCTCTTCCCAGGCCTGGTGGCGCTCAGGACTGGAAGACACCTGGGCTGGGAGAAGCCACCCGCAAGGCGGGTGGCGGGATGTCCCAGCCCAGGCTCCAGTCAACAGAGATGTACGCATGGCGGCCCCACAGTGAGGCCTGCTCAAAGCTGACTCAGCACGTTAAACCCAAGGGTTTAGCAGCAACCTGTCCTGTCACTTGCACCTCTTAGGGGCCGCAGGAGGGCCTGGGTCCCTGGCTGTACCCAAGGGGGCCAGGCCCTCTGTTCTTAGGAAGAAGAGCAGACCTTTCCAAGGGGACCGTGCTCGGCAGCCCAGCTGCACAGAACTCAGCTCGGATGCGGGGCTGACAGTGACCGCGGACAGAATGCTGAAATCAAGCTTCAGAGAGAGCCGGGACTTACTGAGACCACACTCCTTGTAACTCGAAGACTGGCATCAAATTTATTATTATTGTTTGTTAAATATCTCAGAGCTTTTCGGAGCACGTGGAGTACAGGGGCATGGGAGGCTTTCTTCCCAGTGCATTTTTATGTGCGCGGCAGCACTGGTGGCTGTGTCACACGTGTGGCTCCTCTGCCTGAGACCCAAGTCTCGCGGTCAGGTGACATCAAGGAGCGGGCCCAGTGGGGGCTGAGGGTCGGTCCCGCGGGTGCTGTGCCACCCTAGGAAACCATACACAGTGGGGGGTGTCTGTGGGCAGCCCCCGCTCGCTGCACGGCGCCTGTCCTGCAAGCAGCTCGTGAGCCGGGCCGGGGTCAGCCCCTGCGGTGCTGACTGGGAGGGCAGTCTTTCTCCTCCTGAGGGTCGGGGCGGCTGGGCAGTGTGAGCTGGGGCTGAGCAGGGTGGCTCCGGCCTCCAGAGGACCCTGGGCTGCTCCTCTGTGACGACAGAGGCTTCACGGGCCGGGCGCCGTGGTCGGGCAGAGGCCGGGGGCGGAAGACAGGGCCCCCGGGGCCACAGGGACCCCACGGAGCAGTGCCGGGGGCCCGCGGGTGAGCGTGGAAGCCTCCTTGGTGGGACCCTGGTGTTCACCTCTCAGAAGGACCTTCACAGCTTGGGAGGTGGCTCGGGCACAGGCCCAGGCCCGGGCCCCAGAAGGAAGAACCCAGTGACCCCTCCCTCGGGGCGGCTCTAGACCGTCTGCGGCTGCCCCCTTCCCGGGCCAGGCTGGCGGGCGGGGCTGGACCCTTCCTTGGAGGAGGCCGTGCGAACCATCTAGGTTCAGAAAGCGCCTCCCTGGGTTTCCTTCAGATGGACGCCTTGACAAGCGAGTTCTTCACAGCAGCTCAGTTTCTGAAGTTGTAATGAAAACAATCCGTAGCATTGTCCTCACATTCAGGGAGGGTGCACTGTAACGGAGCTGCTTGCGGGCTCAGGAGAGGAGCCCCCCGACAACCCCTCATTTGTGCTTTGAGATGGGGCACGGCACCCTTGCTGCAGCCCTGCAGAGGCGAGGGAAGAAGGGCCTTCCCCAGAGACGGGGCAGCTCAGAGCCACGGGCGCTGGGAGGCCGCAGCCCGCGACCGGCTCCCCCCGCATCCTCTGTGACTGCCAGACCCTCCCATTCCTCCACAGAAATGGGGACCATGCTCCCACCCACCAATGAGGGCGAGGCAATCAAAGGGACATTCCCGTGGGCGTGCCTGGCCCAGGGCTGGGCCCTGTGGACCTTGAGCCAGATGGAATCTGATACGAAGGGGAGAAGGGTCCTGGGGGTCCATGGGGACGTCCTTGGCAGGTGTGGTGCGGGGATCGGGGAGCCCTGGAGCCTGGGTTTTGCTCTCCGTAGCTAGGAAGGGGTAGACGGGGGCAGGAGACGCCCCCCAGCAAAACCAAAGCTGAAGAGTGCACATCCTGGGCTGCCAGCCTCTGCTCGCCCGCCGGGCGGGCGCTGCAGGCACCCGAGGCTGCGGGGGCCTCGCCAGAGCCTCCTTAGTAGCCGCTTTCGGTGGAGAAGGGCGCGTGGGCCAGCAGGGTGCCGTCGGCCTCCCCGGGCGGCCCCGCCAGCTCCCCGTACTCGCTGTTATAGAACACCTGGCCTCCCTGTGCCGCCCGGTCAGGCCGCCGCCGCCGCCCCTGGGGGTCCGGGTGCGCCCTCGTCACGTCTGCGTCCCAGCCGGGTCCTTTACAGCTGCCGAGACAGGGAAGACGGTGTCAGCAGGAAATGAGGGGAGGAGGGACTGAACCAGGGCTGGTCAGACTGGGATCACCGAAGACTCACCTCAGGTTAAGTGAGTGAAAGCCCACGGAAAGACACATACGTGTCACTTAAATAGCCACCCAGACCGGTGTGACTGTTGGCAAACACCGGCCTTCTCTCCGTCCGGGCCAGGGGCGGGACAATGGGGACGGCCCCCTCAGCCCCCAACGCCTGCTTCTCACCTGTCCCGCCGTCTCCGTAAACAGCACCAGCACTGGCTCTGGGGCGCAGGCACCCCCGGCTGTCCTTGCCCCCCCGACCCCCACCCCCACCCCCACCCCCGCCATCTGCTCCAGCCGCACAGTGTGTCCCCGCCCCTCTCTCCACACCTGGCTGCTGCTCTGGAGCAGGCAGCTGTCACTGTGAGGTTGGTGCCACCCCCACCTGGCCCACCCTCTTCTCTCGCTCCTCCTGGCCTCCAGCCCACTCCTCGGGGGTCCTCGCAGCTAGATGTCCTTCTCCTCACCAGAGGCCCCCCGATAGCTCCCTGTCCCCTCCCCGCAGAGTGAAACCCAAGCTTCTCACACTGGCCTGGGGGCCCTGCCCGGGGCGGCCTCCCCGCCTTGCAGACGTTCCCTCCTGAGCTCTGGCTTTCTTCAAATTCTTGGAAAGTGTTGCTCTGCTGCTTTTGCTTTTGTTTTTGCTGTGCATGGTACTAGTGAAAGCTTGATGCCAACCTGACTCTTCTTCGTGAGTCGGTCGTTTTGCCCGAATTCCCAGAATGTTTAAAGTCCACTAGTTCGACTGGGATATGCCCAAGTTCGCTGTCTGGGCCCGCTTTCCAGACCCAGATTCAGGCCTTCCTTTATTTCGAAGAGTTATCTTGAATTACAGGTTTAAAATATTTAATTCTATTCTACTATTAGCATTTCCTTCTTCAGAAATTCCAATTTTGCACATACTGGATCTTTTTCTACTCAACTTTGATATCACTTTCTTTTGTGTTCTTTTTACCTCTTCATTCAGTATTTGCATTTTGTTTCCCTGACCCTCCACGGCCGTCCTGTGTCCTGCATGGGAAGCCGCACCGTCTGCAGCTCCCGGGGGCCTGGCTTCCGCGGGCGGCCTCTCCCCGTGGCGCTGCCCCTGCCATGGGCGCACTTCTGAGTTCCCAATTCCTGGCGCAGGCCTAGTTACAAGTTTAAGCCGCATTGGAGTATTTATCAGTTTTTCTCCACTTCGTTTTTTTTTGAGGGTTTACATCTACTGAAAAGTTTTTATTCTCTTTTCAGTATTTACACGAAGTCTGTATGATAATGCTTATTTTTCTGCTTGTGATTTTCTGCACTGGGGTTTCCTGCGCCCGAGTAGCTTGTGACCCCGTGGGAAGAGCTGGGCGCGTGGGCGGCTTCCTGGGTTCCTTCAGCCAGGAGGGCTGGGTCAGACCACAGCATCAGTGTCACCCTGAATTCCTTCAACTGTGTCCCCGTCTCCAAAGGCTCGATTCATGTCCTGCATTCTGTCACATTGCCCCCAGGGACGAGGTTGCTTAGCTGGGAGCGTGGGGCCCCTCCTGGCTGCTGCCGCCTACAGACTGGGATGAAATGCCACACTGTGGCCACGGTGGCTGCACGCTGAGGGGCCATCAACATCTGGGAGTGGGATGTGCTTTCTCCTGGGGGGAGCGCTGACCGGTGGAGGCAGAAAACGGGAAAGGACAGGAAGATGAAAGCCCTCCTCTCCCCCGCCCCGGGCCCCTCTGGGGCTCAGTCGACACCGGCCTGTTTGCACCTTCCATACGCCCAGTGCGTGTCCCTGGCAAGGGGCCTGCTGCCCCTCTGTGGCCCCTCACAATGTTTCCAAAGGCAGCCATGTGCAGTGTGTCACTGCGGCCGTGAGAAGAAGCTTCCGCCATGAATGGCTCCCTAGGGCGTGTGTCTGTTTTCTGGACTCTTGGTGTGCTTTTGCTGCCACAGGACTCTCATCATCTGTGATTTTCCTCTTCCTCTACCACCGGGCACCGGAGGCCACGCTCCTCAGGACGCCGCCACCCTGAAAGCAGTACCTGCCCCAGAGCCGCCCTTCCCGCGAGGCCCAGCCCCTCCCCGCCGCTGGCCCGGGGCTGGGCCGGCCTCTCCCTCGCGGCGGCCGGCGGGCTCTGCAGGCTCTGGGGCGGGCGCCCTCCTTGCTCGTGGACCAGAGCCTCCCCACTGGTGCAGCCACAGGCTCTGAGGGGCCTTATTCCACGTGTGAGCATTTGAATCGAAGGAGCTACCATCCCCTTACTCGCCCTTTCCCTGGATTACTCTTCTTGAGAGACAAAATACAGTTTGGCAAAGAACCATGAGCTGGAAACTATTTCTGTCAACGCAATTGGCGATAATTTCCCAAAACCAGGTTACTAATAGAGGTCACCCGATGGAACCAATAGAAACAAACACAGAGGCCGACGTGCCCCGCCCAGCTGCACTGTCCCTGGGCACAGGGCCCCACAAATGCCGATGTCTGCAGCCCTGCGAACTCTCTACAGGCTGCTGGGAAAACAACCAAGAGTTGGCCCTGACCCTCAAAATGAATGCACGTGTTGAAAAGGGCTCCTGGCAGCCAACGGGACTCAAATTTATGGCTGTTGCTACACAGGAGCCTCTCACATGAGCCGCGCCTCAGGGAGAAGCCTGCACTGAACTGCCCGCCTGCACGGTGTCCCTGTCCTGGGCATCAGCCCTTCTTATACAGGAGCTCCTGGGATTGTCATTCAACCAATGGGGCTGAGACTTTCCTTGTCCAATCAGAGCTGTGCAGAGCTAACCTCATTAGCATTTTCATGGACACTGATCAGAGAAGTTCCATTCCAACCAAACAGGATGCTGTTTTGGGGGCCAATTAAACGGTGAGGATTTAAAAACCTTCATCTGCAGGAGAACAAACCCACTGAGGACCAGGCAGGACTCCTCTCCGTACAAGTCCGCTCCCCTCTGGCTCAGGTGCACGGTGCCTGTCCCCAAAGACCGCGGACGGCCGCTCCCCTGCGGGAGCTCGATCGCCGAGGCTGGCTCTCGGGACCAGAGCCGTCCCGCCAGCCAGGGCCTTGTGCCCGGGCGCCCACAGCCCTGCTGCTCCACAGCCATGCTGCTTAGCGATCGAGCTGTTGGCACTGAGTAAAGGCTTCTTATTCACTGCGCCCCAAACTGGGGCCTCCTGTGGGCATTGAGTGGGTGCCAAGGGCCATCGGTGGACCTTGGTTAGGTTGTGGAGGTCATACACACACCTACCAGAAAGGCGAACAAGGACATCGACAACACCAATGACACAAATAAGTACTTGTGGTTTCGGGTGCAGCACAGGCAGAAGCCAAGAACGGCTCTGGGCAGCGGCGTTGGGCGCCAGAGCGGGGCTGCTGGCGGCGCAGGGCCGGAGGCGGGCGGGGGAGGGGGAGGCACGCCGGGCGGGCGGCGGGAACTGCGTCGCAGGCCGGCCTCTGGAGCAGCCGCGGGCACGCCCACCATCACAGCGAGCCAGCAGATGGCCTCGCTATTTTATCTATAGCCTTAAAAGTTTAAATATTCAGTATTTTGGGGGCTAGCTTGTTGGGCAAATGGTGATGGCTTTCTCTGCAGGTCTCCTTCTGTGCAGGATTTCTCCGTGACTGCATTCTTATCAAAATAGGACACCCGCACGTCCAGGTTCCACGACCTGTCCGGCTGCAGCGACCACTGGGCGAGGTCTGGGGCCCCGGGGCCGCGGTGGTCTGCCCTGGCTGTGGAGGGCCACGCACACGCACATGGGGCGGGGGGCACACTTGGCTTTACCAAGAGGTGGTGTCTGAGCACCTGCCAAACGGGAGGGAGGTGGCGGGGTGGGCCCGGGTGGGCTGGGCAGGACGGGGCGGGGGCTCCTGCGGGAGGGCTGGCGGTCAGAGGCCTGGAGTCCCGGAGTGCATTGTCTCAACCACACAAGAAGGCGATAGGGAGCCAGAAGTTTCAGGTAAGAGAGTGACAGGAACACGCTGGCCCGGCCGCCTCCCTGGACCCCTTGGGCGGAGGGGCTCAGGAAGTCCTACCTGAGCCTGGCTTCTGTGTGCCTGCTCTCCAGCCGCTCAAGCTCCTCGGAGGCCAGCACCATCCCGCTGTCTGTCTGGCTGTCCTGTGAGGAGAGAGCAAGCCAAGGCTCTGGGCCCGCCGAGGCCAGCGGCCGGCGCCCGCCCCTGCAGGACGGGACGGGTTCTCAGGCGCCCGCACTGCTGCCAACCTCACGTGTCCTGTGAGTAGGGAACTGGCATGTGTCCCCTGCCTGAAGCTCGCCAGGGAGGGTCGTCACCCGCCCTCACACAGGGAGAAACAGGTCTGAGGGCCCGCCGGGCCGCGCTCAGGAGGTAGCAAAAGCTGGGACGCCCCACGTGGGGGGACCTACAGGGCAGCTATACACGTGTCCGGTGTTAGACAGGACAGGTGTCTCCAGGTCCGAACAGTCCTTACTAAATGCCACTCTCGCTAAACGTTACAATGGAGCACAGTATTTGGAGGCCAGCTGTAAATGGGGTAAACTTGAGAGGAACTCACACCAGATAAATGCAGTCAACTGCCAAGAAGAAATCAAGGTATGATTGACCAAACAGTGTATCAAGGCAGGGCCTACGCCTCCCTTCAAGGAGACAGAGCTTTGGATTTGCCCACCATCGCCTTTACTTGGTGCAAGCAAGAAAAACCACCTGCGACCACCGCCCCTAGTTTCTTGAACAGAGCAGCCCAAGCAGCGAACCCTGCGAGATCGGGAGCAAACCTGGCGACTCAGATGGGGCCCCCGCAAGGTCGCCCTCCCGGCCCGCTGTGGGCGCTCGGGCGCGCAGCGGGCAGCGGGCAGCGGGCAGCAGCTGCGGGGGCGTCCGCCGCGTCTCCGTGGGACGAGGCCTGTTCTGGGGGCGGCTCCGGCTCAGTGCTGCCCCCGGAACGGCTGTCCGGCCACCTCGACGGCGACGCAGCGGGGCACCTGAAACCACTTCCCGCTTCGGAGGGGAGGTGGGTAGGACAGCAACTGGGCCCACTTTAATTAGACTGTCTACTCCTGTTTTGGGAACAGGGCTGTTGGTTCAGGCGCACGCTTGGTCCCCGGCTGGCCAGGCAGGAGCTGTGCCGGGGGCCGGCCCGCAGCAGCCGGGGCCGCCCTCGGCCTGAGCCCGGGAGGCGGAGGAACGCCCGCTGGGCAATGCACGGCGGCCCCGGCGGCCGTCTGGGGCGGCTGTCTGTCCTGCAGGAGTCGGACTGTGTTCTCGTGCCTGGTCTGCCTTACGTGGAAATGGGTCGGCTACGGGAAACTCATTCAATCCCCGAACACAGCCTCAGGTGCTTTCATTCTTCAGAATCGTGTTTAAAAAGCTCTGTTAATTTGACTTAAAGATATTAAGCACTTACATAAATTAAGAAATGTAATCAGCAGTCAATGGTGGGAAGGGCTCCAGGCGGAGCATCTGGGAGGCACCGCCCTCTAAGCGCGGCTTCTCGGCTTTCCCGGCAGCGGCCGCGGCAGCCCACACACCAGCCTCTGCCCTGCACCCCCGCCCCGCGTCCACCCCAGGAGGGCCCTGGCTGGAGCAGCCGTGCCAGGGCGACCCCGCGATGGGAAGTAGGGGTGGCGTCCCCGCAATTTCCTGCCCGCGGGAGGCTCCCGCCGGACCGGCCGCGCCGCTTTCATGGGGAGCCTTGTGGCTTCCGGGGAGGAGACCGGGGCCAGCGGGGCTGCGCGGCGAAGGGCTGGCCGTGGGGCTCAGGGGCCAGCCTGTGGCCGATGGGGTAAAGATACATGTTTGGGTTCCACGGGAAGAGTTACTGGTTTATCTATGAACTCTTCGAAAGAGACTCTCGCTGCTCCTCTTCCTCTGAAGGACAGGGAAGAAAATGACAAGCCGCGTCTCTCTGAAGAGTCCCCCTGGCATAAGGAGGTGTTCTGTGAGCAGGGCTGGTTCCAGAAATTCTACCACAGGTGCGGTGACTGAGGCCAAACATCCGAGCAGAAGGGAAAACGAAATGAAACAAAGATTGCCTGCCTGGATTGGTGCCCAAAAAAGAGAGAAAAGCCTGCTGCGGTTTGACAGTGCCGTCCGAGTCCGCTGTGCTGGACTTGCAGAGTGAGGCAGGTAGAGTCAACCACATGTATGTGTTTTCAGTAACAGAGGCCAAAAGGGTGGGCTTCCCAGCCACAAGGCGTGGGAGGGAGATGGAAAAACACAGCACATTAAATTGCGTTAGGTAGGACTTTAAAGTGGCCTTACCAAGGGACTTAGGGGCTCCCTGCCCACCCGCCTACGGCGTGGCTTCGGGGGCACTGACCCTGGGCGGGCACACAGCCACGCACTCCCTGGTGCCAGAGCCCAATCAAGCCCAGGCGACTGCGAGGCCTCTGCTTCTGCCCCAGCAGCAGCTCATTAGGCCCCCTCCTCCAAAGCTGGGGGGGCGGGGCAGGGGGCGGTGAGAGAGCTCGCTCTCTGCAGCCGCAGGCAGGACAAGGTGCTTCGAGGCGGTGCCCGTCCCCAGGGCGGCCCCCGCTCAGCCGGGGCACAGGCCCACTTTGGGGGGAGCCACCGACTGGTGGCAGAACGGCTGCCCGGGCACCGCCCTGCTGGGCAGCCCCGGGTTCGGTCCCGGCCGGGGGACAGCACGCTGCTCAGTGTGGGCTGGCACGGGGGTGGCGGGAGGGAGGCCACGCCGCCGAGCCTCCCTCTCAGCAGGTCGAGGCTGGCAGCCGGGCACTGGGCCTGTCCTCTGCCCCTCCCGGGCCCACCTGTCTGGGACGTGGGGGCCCAGCCTCGGCGAGGCCGTCTCAGCCCATCTTCTCTCGGAGCCCTGACGCCAGGGGCTGAGGGGCCGGACCGTCACTGCTGGGAGAGAGGGCTGCGGCCGTGCGGGGGCACCCAGGCCCCGGGCATCCCTGCCGCCTGCCTCCCTGCAGAGCAAGCCCTGAGTTGGGGTGCGCATCCCCCTCCACTTACTGCTGAGGCCTTGTAGGTTGTTGGGGTCATAGGAAATTCTTCGAACGTTTTCATCCTGGAGGGACCCTGGGTCTGAGTCCCTCTGGCCAGGCTCCCGGGAAAAGTCACACAATTGTAGTATCTGTGGGGAGCAAACAGAAATTGCTGAAGGGACACCCCAGCACCCCTCCCGGAAGCTCGGCGGCCTGTCCCACCCCAGGTCCCCCTGGGAGGCACCCAGGCCTGGGGCTGCAGCGCTGCCCTGGCTCCTCCTGGGCCCTCCCACTTCCCTGCAGGAGGACGAAACCGGAGGCCGCTGCCAGGCGGGCGGGGGGCAAGGCAGGCCGTGCCGGCGCTGCAAGCCACCGCCTGGTGTGTGTGTATGTGCGTGCATGGGCACGCGCGCGTGTAGACACTGGTGGAAGGAGCCTGGTAAGAACCAGCGGGCCTTTCCTGTGCCCAGGCCGGGCCCTGCTCCGCATGGGTACATGGGCGGGAGTCTCGGGACCCCCCTCAGCAAGGCCGGCGGGAACCGGAGTGCACACGGCCACCACGAGGGGCCTGTGGGACCGCAGGCTGCCTTCTCAGTCCTGGACTCCGGCCGGGGGGCCCGCCCTGCTCCCAGGGTCTCTGTCAGTGGCCCTGGGGCCTCAGCAGCCCCCTCTCTTCCCTTCCTGCGAAGTGGAGCTGGCCTGGCCACTGTGCCCCGGAAGGGCACTCGCTCTAAGCTGGAGAGTCGGGGAGAGGACAGGAGCCTGCGCAGGGAGGACAGAGGGCAGAGAGGAAGACCCAAGAGGCACAGCCAGGAGCGAAGCTGAGGCCACGTGGCCCTGCAGGGTCCCCGAGGCCAACCAGGGGCAGTGCCATCAGTCACTCTGCAGTTGGATGTGGCACATAGTGGCCTCTCACACCCTTGTAGTTTGCTTTTTCCTTGATGACCGATAAGGATAAAAGACACCACGGCCAAACCATTCTCGCTGCTGGGGGAGCCACTGGCCCCGGGGGCAGCTGACCTGGCGGCCACGCTGTGCCGGTACAGGCTCGGCCAGCTGCCCTCCTCAATGGCGTCGGCCTTCGCAACGTGCAGGGCCGTGGTGGACGCCTGCAGGAAGCCGCCTTCCTCAAGGCTCAGGCCGCCGGGCGCCACACCGTCCTCCGCTTCCTCCTCCTGGGGGCGGGAATGGGAGAGCGGCAGGGTCAGGGCCACCGCGGCCCCACAGCCGCTCAGGCGCTCGGGGCTGCGGGTGCCCCTGGCCTGAGAAGGGCTGGGCGCCGAGGGCTCCGAGGAGGCAGGGCAGGGTGCCCTGGGCACCCAGCTCTGCAGCCGCAGGGACCAGCGCCAGCGCCTCCCGCCCGCTTCCTGAGGCACGACTGGACGCCAAGGCCCACGGGGTGGCAGGCCGCCCTGCTCGCTGTCCTGGGTCCCAGAGCGCCATGGGGCCGAGCCAGCCCTGAGCGCCCCAGGGGAGGGACACACCAGGCAGGGCAGGCGCAGAGTGGCAGGAGGTGGAGGTGTTGGGGGGCGGAGGGGAAGGAGCACATCACTTCTGCTCAGAGCATGGAACTCCTCGAGGCCAGGCCGGGCTTGGACCATACTGCGTGGCGGCCGGAGACCGCTGCCGCAGCGAGGGGCCGAGCGGGCTCACCTGCGGGCCCCCGCCCAGCAGCAGGTCCCCCAGCATCTCCACCAGCTCCGAGAAGGCAGGCCTCTCTTTGGGGTCTCCAGACCAGCAGCTCAGCATGATGCGGCGTCTGTGGGAAGGCGCGGCCGGACTGGGTGTGAGGGACCGCGCCCTGCGCCGGCAGACCCAGCCCCCTCAGCCCTCCCACCCACTGCCCGACCCCTGGGCTCGGGCACCCGCTGTGCCCCTGCCTTGGGGGAGGACTGAGAGCCCGTGCCTGCAGGCCGCCCCGCCACGCCTGCCTGCACCTCCTCCCTACCCACACGCCCTCTTCCGCCCCCTCTCCGGGCGCCCAAAGCCTGCTTGGCCAGCAGAGACTCACATGGCCGGAGTGGCCAGTTCTGGGGCCCTCATCCGGGTGCCCTCTTTCAGCTGCTGGCAGAACTCCTCGTTGATCTGCACCCCAGGGTACGGGGAGGCTCCTGGCAGCAAGAGGGGGAGGGGGAGGTGGCTGGGGAGCAGGGGCTACTGCTCGGCCCGGCTTCCCAAGTGGCTCCGCCCTGGCCCCAGGGCGGCACTCGTCCTGCAGCTCCTGGCGGGGCCTGGGTGAGGCGCCCCCTCCTCCGGGCCAGTCCTCCTTGGGTTCCGGCAGGAGCGCGGCACTGCCCTGGCAGCGAGGCCTTGCACCGTATCCGCAAAGGCAGGGTTCCAGGAGCGTCAGGGCCCTGGGGCCTTGTGGCCCCCCGGCCGCCCCAGAGGGCCACCCAGCAGGACCACGCCCACCCTTGCACGAAGCCCCGCACGGCTTCCCTTGCACGGACACCCCAGGCCCTCACCGGCCCAGCATGGCCCCAAGGAGCTGCCAGGGCCGCCTCTCCTCCCTCTCGCTGCATCTGTTGATGCAGCGCTGCCCACCCTCCACTCACAGGGGCCCGGCCCTGGCTGCTGTCCTCCCAGGCCCGCCCGCCTCAGCGCACCCCTCACCAGCCTGGCCCCGGGCCCCGGCCCCCGGCCCCCGTCCTTCCTGGGCGCCCCACACTCTCACTTCAGTAACAGCACCCATCCTGCCTGCTCGCTGCCTCGCCCACCCCTCCTGCCCGCAGCACAGGGTCTCCCTCATCTCAGCCCCCGCAGGGCCTGGCCCCCACATGGGGCTCACAGCAGCAGGCGAGGCCCCAGGGCGGGCACCCAGACCCTTGCAGCCCCTCCCTAGCCCTGGAAGCAGAAGCAGCGCCCCACAGCCGGCGCAGAAGGGCTCCGCCGGGAGGGGGGCTGTGGCGGACCTGCTGTGCCTTGCCCGGCACCCTCCCGCGCGGCTGGGGTGGCCATGCTGGGGGGTCGCAGGCGGCTCCCAGAACGACCTGGGCTGTGTGCTCGGGCTGCCCAGCCCCCTGCCTGCACCACAGGCTGGTGGTGCCTGGAGCTGGAGGTCCCACCAGTCCCCACCCCTGCCCCCTGCCCTGCACGCACCCAAGGAGAAGATCTCCCAGAGCAGCACCCCGAAGGACCACACGTCGCTCTGCGTGGTGTACACCTTGTCGAAGATGCTCTCGGGCGCCATCCACTTCAGGGGCAGCCGGGCCTGCGGGGGGCGGAGGGGTTCCTGGTCCTCGGCGTCGTCCCCACTCCCTGCCTCAGACGCCCGGCAGGTCACTGGGGCCCCTGCCAGCCCTCAGGCTCTCCCTGTGGGCAGCAGGGAGTCCCCACACCGCTCCCAGTCAGGAGGCCAGCCGCCCGCACTCACGCTGCCCTTGCGCACGTAGTCAGGGTCCTTGTAGATGTCCCGGGCCAGGCCGAAGTCACAGATCTTTACCACATCGCTTTCTGACAGCAGGATGTTCCGAGCAGCCAGGTCTCTGTGGATGCACTAGGGGCGCAAGCCCGTGAAAAGGGCAGTCGGCGAAGGCCCCTGGGGCGGGGGCCCTGCTCCTCCCACCACAGATCTTTGGACACCCCAGGACGCGCCACGTGCAGGGCTCGTGGAGGTGTGGGGGCGGCAGAGGCGGCTGTGAGGCGGGACAGACTCTGATTGCACACCCAGTTCTGCCGCCGACCAGCTGGAAGTCCTGGGGAGCCATGTCCGCCAGGGCGGCTGTTTTCTCCGCCAAGCAGCCAAGCAGTAGAAACGCACCTTGACCTCAGGGTCACTGTGGGGTGAGCTGGGGCTGCTCACATCATGGTGCGCTGGTGGGTCCCCTTCTCCCCTCTGAAGGGCCTGCCAGGGCAGTCACCTTGCGGGAGGCCAGGAACTCCATGCCTCGGGCCACCTGGAAACTGTAGCAGACAAGGTCTTCCATGGTCAGCGGGCTCAGCCACAGGTCCTCGGCTGCACGAAGGAGCAAGGTGGGCTCAGGAGAGGTCCCCTCCAGGGTCCCCCAACTCCGCACCACCCCAAAGGCTGTCCGTTCACCCAACCCTCGCTGCCTCCCTCGCCGCCAGGGCTCTGAGGCCCCTGGCACCAGCCAAAAAGCACCCAGGCCTCTCCCCGCCCCTCAGTCTGCGCTCTCCGCTCTCTGCGACTCCACTGCTTGCAGGTCAGAGAGGGGGCCGCCCCGCGGGACCCCTGCACAGCTGCGGCCACTGTCTGCCCCACCGCCCTGTCTGCAGGGCAAACTCCCGCTCATCCAGGGATGCCCAAAACAAACATTAAAAGTGTCTATGAAAGCTGTCCCCGGGGTCCTTCCTAAGGTGAACCCACTACCCCCTCCCATGCAAGCCTCTCCAGGAGGGCCCCCGGCCAGCGCATGCCGCTGTCCCCTGCCCATGAGGTATCATGATGCCAGCCCCGTCGTGGGCAAGAGGAAGCCAGGCTCTTACCGTCGGGGGCCGGAGGGGGCCGCTCCGCCCTGCCCTTGCCCGGCAGCAGCCTCGCAAAGAGCGCCCTTTCACCGCTCCCGGGCAGCCTGCGGTCGGCCCGCGCGCCCTCCACCATGGCGCGGAAGCGCCTTCGCTGCTCGGAGGATTTCTCCTGCGGATACACAAAGCGGGTCGAAGCGGAGGCCCGCCACCACGGCAAAGGCAGCGCCCCAGCCCGCCTTGGCACTCCCCGGCTCACCGCAGGGCTCTGGCCCTGGTAGGCTGTCCACTTACCGCGTAGGGGCTAAAGGCCTCCCTCTTGGCCCGCAAAAAGTTGGAGAGGTTGCCGTATTTGCAGAACTCTACGATCACCATGAGGGGCCCTGGGGCGGGGCGGGGCGGGGGCGGGGTGTGTGGTGAGCAGGGCGCGCGGAGGGCTAGCACCGCAGCAACTTCCCTGCCCCAAGCCGGCCGACTCCTCACACCCGCAGACCCAGTGCTCCGCGGCCTCGCCTCCCACGCAGGGCGCGGGACCCCGTACCGTTAGGCTTGGTGCACGCCCCCAGGAGGTTGACCACGTTGAGGTGGTTACCGATGTGGATTAGGATCTTGAGCTCCGACATCAGGGCGCGGTGCTCGCTGGCTGTGGCGCCCTCTGGAGGGGACACAGGGGCTTCGCGTGGTGCCAGGTCCGCCCGCCTCGCCCCCGGGCCTGCGCTTAGCCCAGGCACCTTGGGCGCCCTTGCCCAGTGGGGCGCAGGGTCCCAGCACCGCCCGGCCGCCCCTCCGAGGCAGGAGGTTCAGGTGGGACTGGGAAAGATGACTCAGACCTGAGCCCCAGGCCCAGCTCTGCCGCCCACGGACTCCCCTGCAGAGCCCTGTGTGAGACCCTGGCTCCCAGCCCCAGTGCCTCTTCCTGCACCGCCTTGCTACCAGCCCACCCAGAGCTGCTGCTCCTCACCAGCTCGCCGACCCCTCCCTCTGCTGGCTGACCCCTCACCTTTCAGCATTTTCACGGCCACGGTGTCACAGCTGCTGCCCTTGTTGATTCCAAAAGCAGAGGCTTCCACCACCTTCCCGAAGGCCCCGTGGCCCAGGACCCTCCCTGTGGGGGCGGGGAGCAGGGTCCAGGTGAGCTGCATGGAGGGGAGGACGGAGAGGGATGGGCAGCAGGGGCAACCGTGTGGAGGGCCAGGAAGGAAGGCCCAGGACCAGGGAGGAAGGTCGGGGGCCCCTCTGCCAAACAGGAAGGGCCTGGGGAGCCGCGCAGGCAGAGGGAGAGGACAGGCCAGCAGGAAGCCCTGCATCCTCCCCGGCAGGTGTGGTGGGCCCACCCGGCGCGGAGCAGCAGGCCGTGACCCCGGGGCCTGGGAACTGGGAACCCTGGCTGTGGCTCTGGGGTGCGCACCCAGATGGATAGGTCAGGCCAGGCGGGGGCCAGGCGGGACTCTCTGGCGTGAGTTCTGAGAATGGACGGGCCGCAGGGCCCCAGCCTGCGGCCTCTGCCAGGTGGGACTGGGGGCGGGGGCACGCTGGGTGCTGGCCTCACCAAGGTGCAGCCGATCCCGGGGGAACTCCCACTGGCTGGCATCGTAGGGTAAGTATTCACACTGCTCCTCCAGGGGCACCTCCCCGGGGTCCATGATGATGGACAGGTAGCCGGTCTTGATATCTGCGTGGGCTGGCTGGGGGTCGGGGGTGGGGGCAGCTCACTGGTTAGGCTGTACCTCCGTGGCTCAGGGACAACTCAGTCCCGGGCAAGTGGGACTCTCCATCAGGGAGAGGACAGTGGTACAAACAACCTCTGTTCCCATAAGAGCCCAACACAGAGGGTCAGGGAGGTTTCCAGGGAGGTGAGGGTCCCAGGTTAGCCGGGACAGGGACCTTACTCCTTATCTCGTGGGCTGCGCAGGGGGAAGAAGCACTCACCCTCCTCATATTACAGAAAATGACAAGGAGGAGGACCCAGAAGAAGACGGCGATGACCCCGGTGCCCACAAGGATCACGATCTCCATGCTGCCTTTATCCTCGGAGCCTGAGTGAGCAGACATGGCCGCGTGTGCGTGTGTGTGTGTGTGTGTGTGTGTGTAGAGGGTGCAGCCCCCGCCTGAGTGCCCCTTCTGGTGGGAACGACTTTAGACTTTAGTGAGATGGCCACGAGAAGGCACCAAGTGCGGGTGGGATGTGGGTGAGGGGGCGCAAGAGCAGGCCGGACCTTCCACAGCCACGCTGGCAGAAGAGTTGACGCAACCCTTGGCGTTGCACACGCTGCACAGGTAGCGGCCCGCGTCCTCCTCGCGCACGCGCTGGATGCTCAGCCTCTGGTTCGAGTCCGCCAGGTCGATCCCTGCAGGAGGCCGGTGCACGTTCGAGCTGAGTTGGCCTGGGGCCCTGGCCTCCTGAGCCTCCGCACCCCGCTCTTCAGCCGGGTCCACCCCCTACCGGACTCTTCCTCCAGCAGCCTCTCGTCTTTGTACCACAAGATGCTGGGCACATGCGTCCCAGCCACCGGGCACCGCATCTCCAAGGAGTCGCTCACGTTCACCAGGAGGTCCGTCAAGTTCTGTGTAAGCCGCGGGGCTTCCAGGGCTGGAGGCGGGAGTCGAGAGGGAGCTAAGCCAGTGCGGAAAGCCGGAGGGCCTAGGGAGGGGCCCTCGGAAAGCGTAAGTTGAAAGGAGGGGCAGGGTTTGAGAGCGAGGGGGAGGCTGGGAGGCGATGCTGCCTGCCCCACAGAGGGCCACCTGGCGCCTGCCGGGCCGGGCCAGGAGGCTACGTGGGAAGCGATGCCCGCTCTCCCCCTCCGGCCCTGCCGCCTCACCCTGCACCGACAGGTACTTCTTGTGGCAGTGCTTGTCCTGGCTGTGGCGGTCCTGCACCTCGCACACGTAGTCGCCCTCGTGCTCAGGCGCCACGTGGGGGATGGTCAGACTGAGCGTGGCGTGGCGCGCCCCGGGCGCTGCCTGCTCCAGGCTGGCGGCCAGCGGCGTGGCGAACAGGTGCACGTTCTTGCAGTCGAGCATCAGTGGGTTCCCGTGTGCGTCATGCAGCGTGGACAGGTTGAGGCGGTACCAACGCAGGTGCTCATACGTGTAGTTGTCCGCCTGGCAGCTCAGGCGCACGGCCTGGCCCTCTATGGGCTCTTCCGACGGCTCCGATTCAATGCTGAAGCCGTCGGGGATGGCTGGGGGCGAAGGGGGAGCTGCTGGGGCACCGCACCGGCGATACTGTGACGCGTCTGCCAGGTGCTCGCTCATCCTTTCCCAGTGGCCTTGGGACTCACCCAGCTCTCCACCCAGGGGCAGCGCCCAGAGCCCGCTCCACTCCCTTCAGTGCCCCTCAGCGGCCACGGGGGCGACCTCCCCGCGCCCTCCTGCGCGTGCCCCGCCCGCCTGGCTGCTGTCCCACCCTCCCAGTGAGATCCTTGTCACCAGGCTCCGTGGGCCCCAGTCCCCATCCTGCCCCACCGTTGGCCGCGCCGCACCCCTGCCCCCTCCTGGAGACACGCCCTTGTCTGGCTGCCTGGGCAGCAGCCTTCGCACTCCAGTTTCCTCTGGCCGCTCCTCGTCAAGTCCCCGGGAGCTCCTCTCCCTCCTCCACCCAGAGTGTTCTCTCTGGCTCCACCTTTCCCCCGGGTCCCCTTGCACCCCTAGGCCTGGTGACTTCCCTTTCATCAAGTTCTTAGCTTCCCAGAGGTCACTAACATGTTAGAAAACCCGAGGAAACTATGGGCCTTCTCCCAGGGCAAAGCGCTCTGGTGAGCCGCCCCTTCCGATCCCAGGCCGGGGGAGGGGGGAGTGGGGCGGGCGGCGGGACAGCACCCCCGGGGGTGCAGAGGGCACAGCTCCGTCCTGTGGACCAGCCCCAGTGCATATGCCTTGCTCTCCAAGTCTATCCCTCCTGCCCAGACCTCTCTCCTGGGTGCTCCGCGGTCACCAGACCTAAGCGGCCCCACCTGGCCTCCTCCTCGCCCAGGCCTGTCTTCCTCCCACGCCCACCCGCTCTCTGACCCCCGCCAGGCCTGCCCAAGCCACTCACTGGTCACGTAGAAGTAGATGAGCCGCTCGTCCTGGCCCACCTTGTTGAAGACCACGCACTTGTACATGGCGGACACGTTGGCGTCCTGGATCACCAGCTTGCTCACCGTCTGCGCAAAGCACAGGCAGAGGGCCTGTTTCCTGCCCCAGTTCCCCCACCAACTCCCCTTTCCGCATGGAGGCTGCCGTCCCCACCGAGTCATGGGGAAACCGAGGCTCTGAACTGCAGTTGACAGAGCTCAGAGACAGGACAAGGGACGGAAGGTGTAGAAGAGGAAGCAAGGCTTTGGGCAGCCGAGGTGGGTGGGGGGTGCTCCTCGGAAAGGCCAGGGGACAGTGCTGTGGATGGCTGACATCAGCAGGGTAGGGTTAGGGGGTGGCGACAGGCGGGGCCAGAGGGACCCTGGCTGTGGATGGGCTTGGGCTGTGGCCTTCTCAGGAGGGCCAGGGGCCTGGGGGCTGGGGTGGTCCAAGCCAAGGTCAGGAGTCAGGAAGAGCAGCAGGTCACTGTGTGAGACCCGTGGGGTGTGCACACATTGGCTCCAGGGCTGCCCACGACACCTGTCCCCGTGCCACGGGAAGTCGGGGGTGGGGAGGCTGGGCCCTAGGCTTCCAGAAGGGCTCTGGCCTGGGGAGCAGGAAGCGTGAAAGCAGGGCAGGAGAGAGGGCCCTAAGCCCTGCCTACCATCCAAAGACGCCCCCCCCCAGCCCACTCTAAGCTGGGCACTTCCTGGCCAGGCCTGGAACAGGAAGAGGCTCTGGAGGTGTGTAGGAAAACAGGAAGTGACTGTAGGAAGTGGGTGCCTTTGTTCGGTCCCCTCCCCCGCCTGGCGTCTTCTAAGCATCGCCCCCAAGGCTGGCCAATGGCTCAGCAGCCTTTGGTAGGGACCAGGCCCACCCCCAGCCTGGAGCCTGTGGGAGGCTGGAGCCCTCGGCCTGGCAGGCAGCCTTGAACCTCACCTCCCTCGTCTAGGAAGCAGCCGGCCCTCCCCCACGCACAGGCCGGGAAGCTGTGGCCCAGAGATGCCCCAGAAGGGCCATACCCCAGCTGTCCCTGCAGAGCCCTGCAGGCGCGGTGGGAGCCACGAGGGCCAGGAGCGGCCCCCTCCCCAGCCCCCCGCCCCCGCCGGGCAGTGGCACAGCTGGCCCGCACCTTGTTCTTCCCCTCCACAAACTCGGTCCAGGTGTCTAGGCTCTCAATGGGGTTCACAGCGTCCTGCGTGGTCACCCCCGTCCAGTCCCGGCACTGTAGCATGTGGTCCCGCTGTCGCCGCCGGCTGCTGGGGACGAGGATGGACAGGGCCCGTCAGAGGTGTGGCGGGGAGGGGCCGTGTTGTCATGCTCAGGGTCCCCTCCTGCGCTGTGGTGGGGAAGGCGGCCTTTGGCTGGGTGAGCAAGGGTGCAGGGACACTGGCTTCCGGAACACTCTCGCTCGCTCTATGCACTCCGGGCCCGAGGCGGCTCTGTGGTCCCCTGCTCACCCCCACTTGTGTGTGCCCCTCCTGCAAGGTCTGCCCAGACCCCCGGGGCAGCAGTGGGCGCCCCTGCCCCAGGCAGCCCCCTGCCTCCCTCCCTCCCTCCCTCCCTCCTTTCCCAGAGCTGCAGCCCCTCGCTGGGCCAGGTGGGTCTGGGCCTCCCCCTAGGGGCTGGGCCTCTGAGGGCGGCTCTTCCCTGCCTGGGGCACTGCCGCTTGGTGCAGAGCATCAGACGGAAGCCAGTTTGGAGGTGCCGGCCATGACTCACAGTCGTGTGATCGAGGGGAATCGCTTGCGGGCCGGGGATGTTGCGGGCGGGCTCAGGCCTAAGGCCACCTCCCCCCCGCCCCCCCCCCCCCCCCCGCCCCGAGCCTCCCTCCCTGACCAAGTGGGGCCCTCGGCCCCTCCCTGGTGCTGCCGCCCCGCAGCCTCCCTTGGTTCTCAGCTAATGTCCCTCCCAGCCTGTGACCCTCCCACCTGCTCACAACGATCTCTTACTAAATGGCAAACAGGACTGGACACTCCTCCGCTCCGCACCTTCCCCGGCTCCCGAGCCCCTGCCCAGCCTCTGCGCACCCCTGGACCTTCCCCTCCGGCCCCCTGCTGCTCCCTGGCCTGTCTGTCCTGCTGGCGCCCAGCTCAGTGTAAGCGCATGTGGCCAAGCAGTTGGGCAGGCTCTGCTGCTTAAAGTGGGGGCTTGAGGGAGTCACACCCCTTCTCGGACCCCCAGTGTCCTCCTCTGCAAGGGGCGACGGTAACGCTACGCAGAGGAGCTCGTGAGCGTGGGTGCCTGCTGGGCTGCGGGGCTCGGTCCAGCCTCCGGACCGTGGCCGTCCTGCCTGCTTGGCGGGAGGTGTCCTCCCGACGCCAGAGGCCTCACCCCGGCTCTCTCCGATGACACCAGCCTGTCGGGGGCTTTGCTCTGCAGGCAGGTGAGTGGCCTGGCTGAGGCTGGGAGGGTCTGAGCCTTGCTCGGGTGGGGTGACGAGTGACGTCGGGGACTGGTTACCGTGCGGTGGACACGGGGACAGAGCTTAGCGCGCGGTCCGGGGAGAGGTGCGAGCGGCGCGTGGAAGACCTGGCTGGGCTGCGGACGGGGCAGGGAGGCAGGGAAGATGGGCTGGAGCCACACTCACAGGCTGCGCTGGGCGAAGGTCTTGCAGGGCGTCCACGGCCGCCAGTGCCACTGGACGCTGAGAGGAGGGGGCACCCCGTAGGCAGTACAGGTGAGGGCCTGGCGACTGTGGTGGGAGTAGATGCTCGGGGAGGAAGCCTCCTTCTCATGGATGTTGGGGGGCACTGGGGGCACAGGCAGGCAGCTAGTCAGCCGGCCACGCGGCCATGCCCACACGCCCACCGGCCCCTGTCCCGCCTGCCCCTACCGTTCACCACCAGCTCCAGGCTGATGTTGCGCCTCAGGCCAGCCACAGAGTTCCACAGGGCGAGGGTGTAGATGCCGGCGCTGGCCTCGGTCACCTCCTTGAGCACCAAGGCATGTGGGCTGTGGCGCCCCGACACAGCCTTCCTGTCCTTGTACCTGGCCGGGAAGGGAGTTCGGGGCGCCTGGTGGGCCGGCCCAGCCCCACCCCGGCACAGCCCCCTGCCACACCCCAGCCCCCACAACTGCAAGGTGCTGCCAGGAAACAGCGCCTGCCCCCACCCCCAGCCCCGGAGGCTGGCAAGGCAGGGCAGTCGACTCTGCCCTGGGCAGCGGAGGGCCTGAGGGCTAAGGAGGTGTCCCCAGGCACGACCACGGCCCCGCTGGGCTCAGGACGCCAAGGCCAGTGCCAGCACGCTGGCGCGACAGCCCACGGGGCTTGCGCAGGGAGTGAGCCACCACTCAGGGCAGCCGCCTTCTCCCGCCTGCCCGCCTTCCCTGGCTCTTTCTCACAGGTTTCAGGGCTGCACACGGTGAGGCAGGGAAGCACAGTCCCTGAGGAGCAGGGCCTGGACCCCTTGCCACATGGGGGCCCTGCTCCGCCCTCTCCTGACCCTGCCCTTCCTGGAGTTTTCATTCCCGGGGGCCCCCCACCCTCGCATGTGGTCAGGCACCCACCCAGCAGGCCGGTCTGCCCTGGAAACCGGCGGGCCCTCGGCCCTGCCTCTGCTGCCTGCTCGCTGCACTCTGGGTTTCACACCGACTGCCCGTCTCCCCCACGGAGCGGCCCCCAGCCGGGTGGCACCTTCCTGGCTGTACTAGGCCAGAGGGACACGGGAGAGGCACAGGCCTCGGGCAGAGGCCAGCCGTGAGGGGAGTGCAGGGCCCGGCCCTCAACCGGGGGCGTGGCTCACTGGGGTCGCGGGGCGGGGCGGGGCTGCGGGCTCTGGCACAGAGCCCCGTGTCTGCTGCCTGCCACGTCCCTGATCCTGGCAGAGCCCTTCACGGCCTCAAGCCCCACGCCCTCATCTGTAAACAGGGAGCTGAAATGCACCCTCCGGCGGGGGGTCGTGCGGCCGCACGGAGGCTGGCGCCCCCCGATAGCCCCTCGCACTCGGCGTCAGCGCACACAGAGGCGTCTTGGGAGCAGAGGACTGGCCTGTCCGTCTGCTGGGTTCCCGCCCATTTGCTTAGTCATAGTCATCACAACCGGGAAGAGGGGCCCCGGGGCTGCGGTGACCACCAATGCCCTGGGCAAGGTCTCTGTGGACAGCGGGGCCAGCTGAGCACTTTTTGGAGGAAGACGTTGACCAAGTGAGAAGAGAAAGGCCGGATGTGGTGGGGGTGGTGACATGCAGCCAGCTGTCTGAGGAGCAGGCCTGCGCCAGCCCCGGGGGCAGCAGAGCCAGCCACCTGGAGCGGGTCCGCCCTGGTGGCCTTGGAGGGCGGGGGAGAGGGCCCAGGGGTCTGCAGGAGGCCACACCTGTGCGGAGTCTCCGGCCCCGTCGGTGCGCTTCAGAACCTTCCCGAAGGGCCCTGGGCTTATACTGGGGCTCCCCAGTGGACCCTGAAGTCCGTGGCCTCAGAGATCAGGTCACACCTGGCCCCGGGCCCTCCCAGGAGAAGCCTGTGTCCAGCCTCTGGCCAGGGAACCGGGCCGCCGGCCGAGAATGCCTGCAGCCTCCGCTTGCCCAGATCCAGGCTTTCGGAAGACACCTTTCCGCCTGGAGGGGGCGCCGCGCCCGGGCCGGGAAGGGACTGGGCAGGGCCTCTCTGCAAGGTTCCGGGCTCAGGCAGCAACGCCCTCCCCTCTCCTGGCCCCGGGTTCCTCCTGTGTACGGTGGGGTTGGGCGAGATGTGACGTCCCAGGGTGGAACCACGCGGGCCCCTCGGGGGACCGGAAGGTGCCAGGGTGCTGTGCCTTCCCAAGGGCTGGGGAGCTCCCGAGAGGCCGCGCCGACCCTCGGCATCCGCTCACTCTCAGGCCGCAGCCCCCAGCCCGCGGGCCTCCTTGAAGCTCCCCCTCTCTGCCCCGCGGCTCAGTCCACGGGCCGGGCCCTCGCCCCACAACAGCCTGGGAAAGCCCTGCGGCGTCTCTGAATTTCTGGACGGGAGGGCCCAGGGCGGCAGCCTGTTCAGAGTGAGGCCCAGGAAGCCTGAGCCATTGCTGTGGGCGGCAGGGCCCTCGGTGGTGCTGAGCGGGTGCAGGAAGCAGTTAGATAGAGCCCCACGCTGCCCCCACTGCACCCCCACGTAACAGCAGGCCGGCACTCAGTGTTCACAGTTCAGCAACCTCCCGGGCCAACCTTCCCCCTGGCCGATTTATCATCGCATTATAGGCGTGTTCCTCCAAGTGTCTCCACAGGGGTCCCCACAGGCTCTCAGCGTGCGGGCCCTGCCTGGGAGGATGCCGCCCTTTTCACCCTAAGGTCACCTCTCGAGCTAGGCCTCCTGGGTCTGGCAGGTCGCGCAGGGTAGGAGCCAGGACTGTACCATTGGAACTCCGGCGGGGGGTACGCTGCCAGCTTCACGGGCAGTTTCACCAGCGTGTCTCCGGCCGTGGCTTCCACGGTGGGACCCTTGAGCCACTCAACGCTGATGAAGGGCTTTTCTGCCGGATGGGAGGCATCCGTGTAAACCAGGGCCCAGTGCTGCTCGCCCACCACTGCCCAGGCCGCCCCCGCACGGCCCAGCCTCCCCCCCAGGGCAGGCGCTCCTGGACTGGGGCCCATTCTGCCCACCAGGTGTGGGGACTGGGCAGGTTGTCCATGCACAGCCCTTGCTTCATGCACTGGCGGCTTGGTGCACTGACTTCCGACCTTGGGCCCCAGCTGCACGAGGACCCGGGCTCCCCTGGCTTGATGGCCGATTCCCGATCCACCCAGGCTCTGCCGAGGGCGTCGACGCCCACCCCCACCCCGCCCCGCCTCGCCCTGCCCCAGGACGCACCATGCACGATGACCTCAGTGCTGTCCTGGAACGGGTGGATGCCATTGTTGGCCTTGCAGGTGTAGGTGCCTAGGTCGTGCCGGCTGGCGTTGTGGATGGTCAGGATGCTGGAGAGCTCCGTGTGAGTCTGCTGGGAGCGTCGCTCTGGCACCCACTTCCCGCGCTCGGCCTGCGGGCGGCCCGGTGTCAGGACGGGCTGGCAGAGCAGGGCACCCACAGCACACACCCAGCCCAGCCAGCAGCGGCTCCGGGAGCCTGGGACCCATACCCAGAGTTGTCCTTGGGGGCAGAAAAATCTCCCCGTCAGACCTGGGCACCTGGGGCAGAGCTGCATTGGCACCTCCTCTCTACAAAGCCCGGTGTGTGCCCAGCCAGGGCGCCGTGGGCAGCAACGGGGACTCCCTGGGGCGGCCCCTGCGCGGCCCCCAGCGGAGCGGCCAGCCTCACCTGCTTCCCCGGGTAGTCCCAGTCGAAGGTGACGCCGGAGTTGAACTCGGCCCACACGGTGCAGTTCAAGACCAGCTTCTCCCCAATTAGCAGCTCCGTCGACTTTTTGGGGAACAGCTGGATGTCATAGAGCTCGTTGCCTGGCAACACACGAAGAGTGACCCCCAGGCCCCTCACACGCCAGTGCACAGAGCGCAGGGCACAGGGCACCCACAGCCCCATCACTGGGGGTCGGGTCCCCATCTTACCCTCTCAATCCTCCTCCCGGGACATGGGAGCAGCCGCCCGGCCACAGCTCCGAGGCCCTGGACGACCCCTACCTGTGATGTGCACGATGAAGGGGTTGGAGAGGAAGGCCTGGCCGCCCCAGGTGGTCTCGCACTGCAGGTACAGGGCGTCGCGCAGCAGCGCCGTGGGCACCCGCATGCCCCGGCGGTCGTCCCACACCACGTCCTGCCCGTCGGGCCGCAGCACCGAGCTTTGCTGCAGGGACACGGCTGTCAGCGCCCGGCTGCCGCTTCCTCCCGGCCAGGCCCGCCGGCGGCTGCCTTTCCGGGGAACGGGCTGGGGGCCGGATCCCGGGGTGGGGCTGTACCGAGCGCAGGGTGACGTTGAGGCCGGGGCTGGACACCAGGCAGGGCACCCACATGGAGTCCTTCTTTTTGACCAGGAGTGTGGCTGGCTTGTTGATGAACGGCTGCTTTGAGTCTGCAGAGAGGGAGCAGTCTGTGGGAAGCGCAGGTGGAGCGCAAGGGGTCTCTGCTCCGACGGGGCAGCAGGGCAGACCCACCAGGTCCAAGGGCTGGGGGTGGGGGCGGGGGTGCCAGCCACTGCCCGGGCCTCAGGGCCTCGCCTGCTGCCTCGTAGGCTGCGGAGCGCACGGGCTGGGCCCCTCACCTCTCACGAACACGTAGGTGCTGGCCACCGTGGCGCCCTCAACGCGGGCCTTGATGTACTTGTAGTGGCAGCTGTAGCTGCCCGTGTCGTTGGCATGGGCCTCGGGAAGCAGCAGCACCTTGCAGTAGGGCTTGGCATCCGTGCCCTCGCAGTCTTGAACAAAGCCCGTGTCTTCGCTGTCCTTTTCCCCCGTGGCGGGTGCTTCCTGAGCCCCTTTCCCAGTGGCCGGCCAGTCCCACTGGAGCGGGTGCTGCCCCCTGGCAGAGGGTGCGGAGGTGAAGGGGCCCAGGCTCGCCCACAACACATCTCGCCTAGAGGGCCGGGCAGCCCTGGGTCGGGGCACCTCGCCTGGACCCAGCCCCCAGCGGGTGGCTGGGCACCCTGGGCCGCTGCCTGGCGCCTCGGCCTCCATGTGGCAGGCTGGCTGGCAGAGCAGCCTGAGCCCCCCCGGGCAGAGCTGGGCTGCTGGGAGGACTGGGACATCAAGTACCTGGCTTGGGCTGAAAGGTGACTGCTGAAGTGGGTGCAGGGTGACCCAGCGGTGGGTAGGGAGTGGCCTGGGCTCAGAGTGGGGTGACCCAGGGGTGGGTGCAGGGTGGCTGGGTTTGGTCCATGTGAAATGACCAGGGGTGGCTGTGGGAGAGGGGGCGCAGGGTGCCTGGGTCTGCAGCTCGCACACCCAGACTCCCGGGAGACCCGCTAAGCCTCTGGGCCCGCCTGCCCTGGGGAGGAGCCCAGGCCCCTCTGCTCCTCTGGCAGGGAGGGGGCTGAGTACCTGCAGGAGATGGACAGGCTGTCACTGGAGTCGATGACGTGCGTCTCCTCTGTGATGTTCAGGGTCGGGGGGGCCATGGAGTAGCCACTCGCCAGGCCTGGGGTGGGGGACAGGTCAGCAGGCCGCGCGTCATGGGTTTGCACGGCAACGCCCGTCCGGCGCAGACCCCTCCCCAGAGCAGGGGCTCTGAGCAACATGCACAAGGCCGCTCCCCGCCCGGGCCCTGCCCGATGGGGCACCCACGCGAGCCCTGGCGGAGGCCGGACTGAGCCCAGACCTCCGGCCCCACGTAAGCTGAGCTGCCAGCATGATGTGGACGGCGGGGTGGGGGGGGGGTGGGCAGCGCCAACGTCAGTTACACTGGGGAGGCCCGCAGTGGGTGACCTTGGCCTTGTGACCACCGTATCGGCCCGAAGGCCCCTCCCTCCTGAACCTCAGAGCCATGGTTGCTGCTTGTGAGGGGCTCTTGCACAGAGCACTGTTCCCAAACATGCCCAGAACTGGAGGCCTTGCCGCCTCGCCCCAGCGCTGCCTACCTCATGCTCCGCCAGGCCCCGCGGAGCCTGTTGCCCTTTCCCTCGGTCCCCTACAGCTGCCGTCCGCCCTCCAGGCCCCTGATGGCCGCCCTGGCTGCCTCCGACCCCACCTGCCTCGGCCCCGTTCCTCCTGCAGGCTCATCCGCAGACACACAGACAGCCCCGCTCGCCTGGCTGAAAGCCCTCCTGCAGCCCTCCGGGACCCCGGCCACGGCCCCCCAGCTCCTCGCCCACCGCCGTCCTGCCGCGTGACGCCGTGTGTACGTGTGCGTGCACGCGTATCCCCATGCATGTCTGCCTCTATCTGTGGGCATGGACTTGCGTGTTTGTGGGGTTGGTGTGTGTGGGACATGTCTGACATGTCAGGGTGTGTGCGCGCGTGAGATCCTGGCAGGCCTGGGGAGGTCTGGACCTGGGACTCTGGCAGATGCATCCTGCCAGGACGGCCCTGAGACAACAGGAAGACAGGACTGAGAGGCTGGAGGCCCTGGGCTGTGTCCCGTCCCTCCCCGCAAGTCCCTGTCGTCCTGGGGGGCAGAGCCCACTCTCCTGCCCCAGCCCTCAGCCGCTTCCATCCCCGCAGGCCCAGCTCCTCTGCCCTCCTCTACGCCGCTGACCCCACACCCCGAACCACCCTGGGAGAGGCGCCTGGCGGCACCTGCCACACACCAGGTCTCGTTTTGGCACCTTGTGGACAATGGCCAGGGCTGGGAGGTCCTCGCCAAGCACCCGGCCCGGCACAGACAGAGACACCGAGGCCTGCAAGCTGGAGCGCACTGCACCCGCAGACGGCAGCCCCCCACTCGGCTGCACCGCAACTGCTACGAATTTTCTTGTTCGCCTGAACCCGGGGCCCCTCTTGGCCCCGGGCCAGCAGCCCAGCAGCACCCCGGGGCCCGGCAGCAGGAAGGTGGCTGTGGGCTCCGCTCCCAGGCATCTCGCCGCGTGGGCTCTGTCACCAGACCCACGCATCTCTGCACGCAGGGGCCTGGCCGTCCAGGCACACCGGCCCCTGCCAGACACCCCCTGGGCTGCTGGAGAGGAGGCACCCTGCAGTGGGGAGGCCTCCTGGGGTGCGAGGGGCTGGGAAGGAAGCTGGGAGGGCAGCTCCGAGCAGTGGAGAGGGAACAAAGCCACAGCAGGCAGACCGCTGGCCCCCAGGCTGCAGAAAAGGGGCCTAGCAGCAGGCTTGGGTTTGGAGCTGTGGGGGCTGGAAGGACTGGCTCTCCCAACGGCCGGCACGTGGTCACCTGGGGACAGCTTTGGCAGCCCACGCCCGCCTGCCCTGGGACCGTGCGTTCCCCTCCGTGACATCTGCAGTGTTGCCCTGAGGCCCCTGGAGACGGCGAGGGGTCCCCCTTTTGGGGTGCCTACCCAGGCACACACCTGGTATCCTGGCTCTTCATGAAGCTGTGGCCCTCCCTTCTGCCCACTCCCCTTCTCTCCAGCTCCCTGTCCTGAGGCATCTCGGAGAGGCATGGACCTCACCCCATCATCCCAAAGGGCCTGGCCTGTCATATCTGGAAGTCTTTCGCCCAGAACATTGGTGCTCCTTTCCCGAGATGCTACCTTGTTCTAGTCTAGCTCCTGCTTCTCTTCCTTACGGAGGGGGCACTGTTACTCAGATGGTGTGCGCCTCCTTGTGGCTCCTGCAGGGTGGATGGGTGGGGGGTGGGGGCGGGGATGGGTGGGGGGTGGGGGCGGGGATGGGTGGAGGAGCGGAGACAGGGAGATTCCTCCCTGGAGGCGGCGGTGGCACCGAGGGCAGCGGCTGCCCGATACTAACGCGTTACTGCAGGAGAACCGTCCACTGCGCTTGCCAGCCCTTTTCCCATCCCTGTGAATGTCTTCCGTGTTGCCATGTGCCCTGACCTGCCCAGTCTTCACATGTGCCCCTCCATCTTCACTCCGTTCCACGGGAACCTGCATGATCAGCAGACTGGGCTGTAGATGTCACTGGCCCTCTGTCCTCTTGGCCTCAGCTGAAACTGGGCTTCCCGAGGACACCACTGCCCTGCGGGTCATGGCTCTCCCTGCGCAGGCCTGACAGCGGAGGGCTCCTTGTGGCCCCTCCCCCTCTCCGACCACACCGTGGGCTCCCCGCTAGAGCTGTCATCGGCTGTTGTCTTGGTCACTTCCCCTCATTCTATGCTCCTGGCGCCCGCTCCCCCCCACCCCCACCTGGAGTCAGGCCCTTCCCCATGACTTCAGCATCCACACGGTCACTGGCTGGCACCCTGGCCTTCTCGGTCCTCATCTCCACTTCCCTCCTGCCCCCCGCCCCTGCGCCCGGGCCTCACCTCGCGGGCACCCCCTGACCCGGGCCCTCACCAGCAGGCCCTCGCCGGTGCCTGTGGTCCGGAGCGCCGCTCCTGCCTCCTCTGCTGCCCACGAGGTGCTCCTGTCCCCCCACCGCGAACTCCTTCAGCTGCACCCGAACTCCCAGGCCAGGGACCCCTCCCCATCGCCACCCCTTCCTGGCCTCGCCCTGTACTCAGCACAGCACGGCCCAAGGCCCATTACTGCCTCTGCCCCTGCACCACAATGCGGCGACACCACGGCACCTTTCGGCACTGAGGCTCAGCTCTGTGGCCCCAGCCGGCCGCACCGCAGCCCCCGCTTTCTCTCCCAGTTGGCAGACCTAACGGCAGGGGCTGCAGTTCCGGGCGGGCTCTCCCGCCCTCCCGCCCTGCCCTCCCAGCACTGACTGGGTGAAGCCATCACATGGAGGTGTCTCATCTTCCCACCTGGGACCTCCACCCCCGCTCCCCGCCTGGGCCCCAAACCCTCTGACACTCCCTCCCCCAAGGCCTGGCCTCCCATCAGCTCAAGGATCCCAGCGCTGGGACCTGACTCCCAGAGATAATTTCTCCCTCTTCTGATCACCCCTATTTCTCTATGGAACCATCTCCTGCCTCATAAAACTGCAATTCCTCGACCCTGTATTCCCTTCCAGCCACGGCCCTCTTTCCCATTCCCCTTCATAGCAAAAGGTCCGCTCTCGGTCCCCTCCCCTCCTGCTGGGGTGCAGCCGCACCTCCCCCCTCAAGGCCTCCAGGCTGCGGGGGTGGCGCTGTGGGTGGGGCGGGGTGGAGCGGCCCCCCTGCGGCGCCTGCTGTGAGCCCCCCTCCCCGGCCTGCGCCCTGTCCCCCATCCCACCGACACCAAATCCCCTGTCCTTCTCACTTTCCAGTCTCCACCGCTCTCTCCTGGGCATCCGGTACCTCCCAATTCTCTGTCTCCTGCCCAGACCCCTCCTCTCGGGGGCAGCTCAAAGGATCCGGCTGCCCCTGCGCTTGGCCACCCTGTAAACCCCGAGTCCTGCATTTCTGATGCTAAACTCCCGACTCACACCCTCTCCATCCCTGCCAAAGGCTCCTCTTTGAAAGCCCCCGTCTCCCCACAGGGGAGAGGATGCCCGCCTGTCCCACCACCAAAGCATCTCAGAGCCCGATCCGCTCGCCTCCTGGGCGCCAGGGCCTGCCCCGCACTTGTCCCCAACACGGCTCCTCACGTAATTGTCAGCTGGAGTTGAAAAGTGTGCTGTGCTTTCCTTCCAGTGGCTTCCCACTGAACCAGCAGGAAAATCCAAACTCCTGACCGTGGGCTGGGCCCACCTCTCCCCGTGCCTGTTCTCACTCCGTGTTCACACCCTCGGGCGCAGGCCACCTTGGCCTGCGGGGCTTCCTCGGCCCCTCCGCAGCCCCGCCCGCTGCCCGCGCCTCCTCTCCTGAGCGCTGCACAGCCTGCTTCTTCTTGCCTTCGGCTGAGACGGGCTCCTCGCCGCCTCCAAACCTAAGTGCCCCTTCAAGCGCCCATCGCAGCCTCCGGGTTGCTTGCTTTATCCTTCTTGTCACAGTGAGTAATTACGCCTCTTACTTGTTTCAGTTGTGTCTTTCTGCATCCTCCACCAGACAGTGAGTTGCAACAGGGTGAGGACAAAGACGGCCCCCTTTCCTCCAGGGCCCGGGCCTCGCACAGGGCCGGGCACAGTCACGGCTCCCCAAACGCCTGCTCAATGAGCAAACGGCGGGCGGGTGGGCGGAGGGTTGGCTGGATGAGAGGACAGGTGGAGAGAGGGACGGGTGGATGCCTGGACGGGCGACGGATGCCAAGACTGAAGGGCGGATGGCTGGATGGGAGGACACGCGGACAGGCAGACGGTCAGAAGGCCGGACGGGCAGGCGCACAGGGGGAATGCGTGGATGGGCGACGGGCGGATGGAGGGGCAGGTGGGTGGGTGGCCGACGGGCTCGATAAAACGCCCCTGAGGTCTTCCTCAGGGTTGGAACTGGGTCAGACCCTGCTGCTCCTTTGGGAAAGATGTTCCAGTTTTAAAGGTCAGGGCCCCGGCACCTGGCACCCAGGCTGCCTGGCGGCCACGGGGCAGCCGGGGCAGGTTCGGCCCGAGGGCTGCGTGCCCAGAGGCTGCCTGTCGCCCAGCCCCCACCCGCAGCCCTGAGAGGGCGCATCCTTCCTGCCTGGCTGTTGTCTGTCGCTGCCGTCCTTCCCTTCCCGCAGCAGGAAGCACTGTCATCCTGGCCTCTGCCGCGCTCCCCCT